CATTTTGTGTAAATGTGTTTTTCTTTTTTATAAATTTTAATTATGTATTTGTTTTAATTTGATGTAAACCGCCTAGAGTCCCCATTGGGGGGAGATGGGCGGGGATAAGTCTACTAAATAAATAAATAAATAAATAAATAAATAAATAAATAAATAATCTGTTTTTCCTTCTGTTTTAAATTAGCAAAGTTATCATACCATATGATATGCTCCCGACCCTTTTTACAGAATAGTAATTCCTTCTTCCTCGTCTACAATATAATGTATTTCAGGAACTTTTAATCCTATGCAGACAATTCAGTATTTCTGAAGTGGATCTAATCACAATATGAGGCTTATGGAATGAGGATGTAGTAGATCTATGAAATGCCATCTTATATTTTCCCAAGAGATTTTCAGTGTTCTAGGACTGAGTTAACTGTCTCAACAAAGTAACATTTATACTAAGAGTCCTTGGAATATGGCTATTTTTATAGGTCTTCTTGGACACATTTGCTTCATTTTAGCTATTTTGTTAATCCTTCTGATAAATGTGTAACTATTTCTGTATTGAGAAGGCAAAGTAGCACATTCCATTCATAACTGCATAATGTTGAATAAACCACTAAAGCTATTAATTATGCTACCAGCCACATAAAACCTTTTAGAACCAGCTTGTAAATGCAAGTACCTCTGATGAAATTGGATTAATTTAATCCCCTATTAGGGAAAAAAACCCCAAATCATATGGTCTGACACTATCACCAAAGGGGAACTATCCATCATGATAGATAACACCATAGAAAGGGTGCCTGCTGCTACACTGATGGAAAGTCTTCACAATATCAACTTTGCAATAGGAGCACAAAGGGTTAGGGTTCTGTCTGAATATTTACTGAGAGAATCTGACTCCCTAACCCCAGGAGACTTGCTCTACTCCAGAAGTAGACAACCTAGGGCAATATCAGTGACAAGGGATTGTGGGAATTGAGGCAAAAATATCTTAGCATAGGGCTTGGTTACTCGAAGGACTGCTTGTCTCCCACAGTATCTGCCTAGCTGATCCGATCTAGCAGGGTTGGCACGCTTCAGATTCCTTTGATTAAACAATGCCATCTATTCTCTGTAGCAGCACCTGCCTTCTGGAATAAAGTTCCCCCAAGATTTGAATGGCCTCCACCCTACTGGTGTTTTGAAGGGCCCTGAAGACCTGACTCTTCACCGAGGCCTTTGACAAGCATGACTAACCCCCCTTTTCTTTTTCTTTGTTCCTATCTGGGCTTGTTATCTCTGTCACCTTTGTTCTTTTTTGCTTTGTGTTTTCTTGTTCTAAAGTTTTTAACAATTTGTAAATCACCCAGAGTTGCTGGGAGTTTGGTGGCATACTTTATTATTTTTGGTGGTGGTGGTCACGCAGTCAGCCAGACATTTAGACTGGATTTGGCATTTTTATCCACCTATCGAGTCCTTCCCAAGGACATGGGATAGGCAGATGTTGTTGTTTGGTGGTGCTAAAGGTACTGTCGCAGGATGTAAGCTGTTCCAAGTAAAGCTGCCTTTTGCAATTGACTGATGATGATTTTGTCAATGCCAACGGTGTTCAAGTGGTGCTCCA